GTCTGCGTTTTTTAAATCTTCCATCTTTGTTTTGATCATTTTAATTAACGTTATTGATGTGAGTGGGCTGCGCTTTTTTGTAGGGTGGTAGGATCCACGCCACTGTCAAAGGTTCTTTGCAGGTGCGGAAGAAAATCCACGAAGGAGACTGCTATTTTATAAAAAAAAATTGGAGTTGGATTCAATAGCGATATTTTCAGGCCAACCAAGCATAAATATCGTTTGTCCTTCAACTTGAGGACTGATATTAAATCGATTGTTGATTCTAATCTTTCTGTGAGTGATTTGATTTTGTTGATTATGACATCATTGAGAAAGAATCATCTGACTCTCCTTATTTAGTGGGTAATATATTTTTCCTTACTGTTGTTCATTTTTTAATTATGTTGTTCGTTTTTTAATTATTGAATTTTTGTTGACGAACTCTTTGCTGCCCTCTTTGTTTTGTAGACGTCATTGGTTTAATCTTAGGAATTGGGGAAGTTTGTGATCATGTGGTTTCTGGTAGGAAAACGAAAATGTTTGTGTTGAAGCTTGACAACCTGAGGTATTTAAAATGTTTGAGTTAGATAAAAAAAAATTTGCCGCTTTGTTAGCTTATATGATTCGTGTGTAATGTTGTTCTTGCTGCAACTCATATGTAGGGGTCACAAGCTGTAATGCACTTTGTGGGAGCATTATGTGGATGAAGTACAATCTCTTTTGGCAAACAACGACACTCCTCATAACGTCATAATAGTTCAGCTGGGAAGGATAAAATGTTTTAGGGGTATGTTTTTATTCTATTTTTATTAGTTATACTCATAACGTCGTAATCGTTTTTATTTTCATTTTGGCGTCTGTATTATGATTTTATTCAATTTTTTCTATTCAATAGGTAAGGTCGGGTTAACAAATACAAAATATATAACAAAGATTGTCATGGATTCGAAGGTGCAGAGATCGTTGAGTTCAAAAAACGGTGTGATATTTATTCTCAAAGTAATGTGTCACGTTTATTCGGTTATTCACTTATAGTGTTAACAATTTTTGCTTTATAGTCTTTCGGCTGATGGTGTGGAAAATAGTCTGAGGTTGACTCAGTTGTCTACTCAGTCCTCATATTATTTCGAAAATGATTTTCTTAAGGAGACTGAAAAGAAGTCTATTAGTGATGTGAAGCTTTGTGGTGAGGTAAATATTGAAAGTCTGTTTTTCACTTTTCTTGAATTATATCAAGTCTATATTGATGGTGTTTCCTTTTTACGTGCGATGACTGTATTTAAGGTTACAACGTGTATCACATATGGGACTATAAAATCTATTGAGAGAAAATACAACTTGTGGTACAAGTCTTGCAAGAAATGTCCATTTTCTGTTTGTGAGGATTTTGAGAAGCGGTACTGTAAGAACTGCCAAAAACATTGGGATGATTATTATCCAAGGTAATACATTGTTCTTGGTTTATAATTTTTCTTTAATCCATATCGTTGATATTTGTTGCTGATATACAATTTTGCAAAACTATAGATTTAGTGTTCAGGTCAGAGTTGTGGATAACACTGATTTTGCATCATTTCTTCTGTTTGATCGAGACTGTTTTACTTTGTTGGGAATAAGCGTTGGTGAATTGCGCGAGCGACATTTCAAGAGGGTCTGTATTATCATTCCTGTGAAATGGTTAACATGTATTTTTTGTTGTTTATTGAACATTGTTTGCGCTGTATTTGTTATAATGTTTTGTGTCCTGTTTATTTCTTCTTCTTCTTTTTCGTTTTTTTAGGGTGCAGATTTGGATCAATTTCCAGAAGAAATGAATGTTCTAAATGAGAAGTCAATGTTGTTTAAGATAATTGTGAAGCAAAAGGATTTGAACTCATACAGTGAGCCAAAATATCAAGTTTCCAAAATTTGTATTAGCGAAGAAATAATCTCAACGTTCATTAAGTCTCTGATCGATCCAACATAAGACAGTAGTTCTTCTGGTACTTTATGTAGATGATATGCTCTTTATTGGAAATAACGTGGAGGTAATATCAGGCATTAAAAGTTGGCTAAGTTAGTGTTTTGGTATAGAAGTATTGGGGAAGTCAATTATATTCTTGGTATAAAACTCTTATGAGACCGAAAGAATAAGTTGTTGGCATCTCCTCAGGCTACTTACATTGACAAAACTCTTGCCAAAATTTAACATGAGAATTCTAAGAGAAGAATTATAACTCTCGGATGTGGAATTCATCTTCCTAAGGAGTAACCAAAGACTCCTGAGAAGGAAGAATGCATGAGTTGGATACCTTATGCTTTGGCAAAAGGTAGTTTTATGCATACCATGTTGGGCCTTAAACCAGACATCTGTCACGCAGTGAGAGTAGTGAGACGGTACTATTCTAGACCTATAGGAACACTAGATTAGTGTTAAGCATGTACTCAAGTATCTTTGGAGAACGAGAGATTATATGCTGGTATAATCTAGTGGGAGTCTTGAAAAGCTGAGTTTTCACAAATTCAGTTATATCAAGTGGATATTGACTCAAGAAATCAACCTCGAGCTATGAGTTTTTCACTAAACTCAGATAACATTAGAGGTGGATCTTGCAGACCCAGATACTAAGAGTTTGTATGAACTTGTGTTCGAGAGGCATGTTACTTCTTTGGGTCTTAGGAGGATCCCAAACTTGCATTAAGCGAGTGAGAGATATTGGGTTCATTGTGCTCTTGGAGTATGACAATGAAATAATGTAATCATTTTCTGAATTTTACATATCAGGTATCAGTTATTTATTTTGCGCACTATTTACAAACATCAAGGTCCAGATCAATTGTGGAGTATATGATCATATGGATACGTTCATGGAGGACATGATCATAGGTTCTCACAATTGATGAATAGATTCACAGTAAAATAAAGTTGGACACTTTATTTAAGCTGCAATATTTTATGAAATGGTTTTGTCCGAATCATTGTAAAATATTGGTGTGAATTAACATTCACTTTGAAAGGATCAAGGAGAGATTTGATTAAGGTTATTTTTCTGTCATAAGGTATCAAATCTCCAGTTAACTATAGTTATGTAATTGCTCTTAATCCTGAGTTTATTATAAATAGGTAATCAAATAGTTTTCATTCTTTGATTTACCAACGGGTGAGGTTCGATCTATTGACTGCCAATAACTCGGTATTTTGAGAGTGAGATTATTTGATTATCGGTATTTATGAGATAAACAACATGAAATTTGTAGGATATGTCCCCTTGATATGTTTCGGTACTTGGATATTAAAGACACTGGCCAGTGCATGTAATCCATTAGAGAAACTATCATAGTCAAGGGAATAAATAATTGATTGAGTTACAGAAAACTTGTCAATCAAGTATAGACATTCTACAAAGGCTCGATGCATATTCATGTTATAAGTGTTGTTAATCTTGGAGTTCAAGTTCGGGCTTTTAGTGGAGTAGCACCGAATTAGATAATCATTCGATGATTATCAGGAGCCTTGATTAATAACAGATGGTAGATCCTCAAGCTAGCTTGAGACAAGGGATGAGGTGTTTTTTCAGATAGATGATGACTTGTGGGTTACATGGTCTTGGGTTTTTCAACTTGAGTTTGTATCCAAAAGAGCAAGTGTGAGATTGTTGGGTTTGTGCACTTTTACTAAAGTCCAATTGGGCTATTAGTATGAGAAGAGCCCAAGAAACCTAGAAGCCCAATGAGCTTAGAGCTACGATTTCTTGGAACCCATATAAATACTACCACTTAAGTCATCATCCTCCTAGGTCATTTGTGAGAAAGAGGCAAGCTCAGATCTGATTAGTGCCCACACACTTCCCCTTCCTCCTCGAGAGATAGTTTGGAAGGTTTGCCAAAACACATGTTCGTGCTGTGATACAACAGTTCATGAGTTCGTGCTGTGACGCAAAGAACTTAAGCGTGTGCAACATCATCATCTCACATATGCGCCATCAAAGAGGGAATTGATAAAACCATGATGATCCTTATACATCCAAATCACAATGGTCTTAACGCTTTCGCATGATGCAATTGCTCCTACAAAAAGGTGGGGTGAGAGCATGAGTTCGATTTTCTCCATTACTATCTTTGCGAGTGGTTTATAGCCCTAATCCTGGATCTGTCTCGAACAAGATTGCCTCCCATGGAAGATATTTATGGTTTATCCAAAAAATATATATATACCATATGTAGATCAAAGACTTAGGGTTGTTTTAGCTTAACTAGTAGCCTCAAGTTTGACTACTGCATATACAACATGCTGCCTTTTTGGTGTTGTCATGCTCAAACCAAATTAGTCAAATAATCAATGAAACGGTGAAGAAATAAATAAAAAAAAGATCAACCCTTGAGTCACATAAAAAATTCATATTCTAGCCAAAGAATAAGAAATTTTGAGAGTTTTACCAGCAAACATGTGGATCAACTGACACAAATTATTTTAGCTAAATCAATGTAAGATATGATTTTATTCAAATAAAGTAGGTTGTGGCAGAAATCAAAATAAATGCTATGTTAAATGAAGAAAAGTTTATCAACCATGTTGAAAGTCGCTCTTCCGGATTAAAAAAAGCACAATTTTTACCATCAAATATGTGGATTTATTGAAATTAAAATGTTTTAATTTAATTAGTGGTCTCGAGTTCAAATTCTGGTATGTAGTGTGTTAAAACTTGAAAAAAAAATTTTATCATCCTTAAAATCTTACTCGGCTACTCGGCTCAAATTAGAATAATCTATCCATGAAGCAGTAGAGAAATAAAATAAAATAAAACAAATTAAATTCCTCTTTAGCTCTACAATAGAGCAAGGTGTCTAATCTCCATCACAATTAAGTCAATCGATACTTCTATGTTAGGTTGTACTGACACTAACATGGGACACAAGATAGAATACTCTGATACATTAATTTAAAAATGTTAGATTTTGATACGTTTGGACATGTTTTGATATTAAATAATATTTTAATTTATGTAGTGTATATTATATTTAATATTTAATAATTTAACAAAAAAATGAAGCTAAACTTATAATACCCATTAATTTTGCAAAGAAACATAAGATATCCCAAATATTTATGTTAAACTCAATAAAATAGTAATCATAATTCAACGAATCTAATATTTTGAACTAAAAACGCAGCGCAACATAAACTTTGAACCATTTTTTGAGCTTCTGCAATGTGTTTAGTGTCGGAGAGTGTCAAAAATCGTCGCGCATAATACGTCAGAATTTTTGGAGTGTCGGTGCATATGTAGGTAATGAAAACATACATATCCTCAAGACAAAATTTAAGATTAAATAAAAGAAAAAAAAATGTTAATGAAAACAAAAAAGCAGAGAAGTGAGAGGTTGTGTATTTAAACATAGATATCTAGGCGTAATAAGAGCTCAAAGCCATATCCTTCCACTCCCGCAATATGACCTAACCAATATTATTGAAATTTAAGAGGCCATAGTCCCTAACCCCTGGGTCCGCCCGTGTTTGTAGGGTACCATTATATATATAGCATATGTTTTAGTTAGATATTCGTATTATTTGCAGCACTTTATACGAATAAAAGTTTGATTTTTTAGGCATTGTAGACTTTTTAAGTGAGAGATGAAAAAAAATAAACGAAAAAGAAAGGTTCCCATGACGAAGGTGATTTAATACTTTATATGGATATTTTTAAATTTTAATTTATTAACATAAATCATACATATTATTCATATAAGAAAATATTAAAAAAAAATACTGGAAAATTTCATTACTATTAAGTCTATAATTATATCACATTTGTGAATCAAATTCTAATCCTAGCTACAATATGTCCTTCAACACTCAACATAAATGACCAGTTACCTAATTAAGCTACACGACAAGCATAATAATTTCAACTCAACTTCAGCACCCCACAATTCCCTTCGCCATCATGCACGCTCTCCCAAAATGAAAAAGAGAAGCCTGAGCAAGAAAAGTAGGAAAAGATAAAGGCAAAGTGCGAGCAAGATAACAGAACCAAAATTATCCCACATTTTTTTTATTTTTTAAAGAAAATCCATTATCACATATGTAGGCAAGCCCATACATTTCGCATTCCATCCGCTACATACATTGCATTCGTACTTCGTAACCAATGCGTAACGTATGGTGCTACAAAAAGCCAAAACACCCACAACTCTTCAACTGCCACGTATATTCCTCACAAAATATGCCACAACTACCCATCTTTCCCTCACCAGTCACCATGACCCGGCTTCATTTGTTAATGAAGAAAGATAGGATTCGAACAGAAATACATTCATAAATATAATAATAAATTTTAAAATTAATTGGTCAGATCGAAAATTGTCACCCTTAAAAATAAATTACATTCCACACCAAATAAGAAAAAAATAATCAAGCCTCTATTTTTGCAGTTTTACACGAGAGATAAGAAGATAGGAATGAAATAGCAGGCAAAAAGGAATAAAAATGGAATATGAAATATATACATCCTTATGAAATATGAACCACAAGTTATTATCAACGGAATTGACTACAAAATTGAATAAGAAACTAAAATCTACCCCGAAATTGAAGTTGACCTATAAACTATCTAGTTTTCGGAGATAGATGGGAGTTAGCACTTAACATATAGTCTAATAATTATTATATCATTATCAACGGTTCAGATCTCTTATCAAGTTGGGTGCACCAGCACAGGATCTTCACCAACCATTCGATCTTCAACCATGGTCAATTACTTTGCTCATTAATTCGATGCTCCTTCAATGGCCTTAAGACGCTCATAGATGTTGATTCATCACTAGCAAAGAACATCTGAGATGAAGAACACACTGTCTCATCCAGCATCTGTCATAAAAAATAAAATAAAAATTGCTCATACTGTCAAATCTTTATCTCTGAATAATTATAAAAAAATAAAAATAAATAAACGAACGCATAAGAAAACAAAAATCCATATAGAATTAAACAAATAATAAGAAAACTTACATTTGAATCGACAGAAAAAGAGGCAGAAGCAGAGGACATTGGCACAACCTGGTTCTCTCCGTCATCTCCTTCTTCAACATCATCATCATCACTATCATAATCATTCTCATCCTCATCATCATCAATATGATCAGAACTATATTCCCCATTATCATCCACGTAATCACAAAGATGGTGATTATTATCTGCCACGTGGCTGAATCTGGCGCGTCGATCAGCCACGCAGCGATGACAAAAGGAAACAGTGGGTGTAAGCTTTGGGCCTGAAGCCTTCCACGGAGTGTGAGAATAGCAGAGGCTGCATAAGAGAATTCTCGAGTGTCTGGCTACTAGGAAATTTGCACTGTGAACTTTCTCGTCGCAGTCCCAGCATAGGTTAGCCTGGTCCGAATCACAGTGCATCATGGCCCTATTCTCACACAGCGCACAGCACTCCTCCATTTTCTTGTTTCTGATCCTGTTGTTGTCTCGCTCTGGGCACTAACATAAATAGATAATAGGAGCAACAACCTAACAACACAGTTTGCAACTTGTATCACAGTATTTCGTGATTTAGGTTGTTATCGTCATTTTATACGAAATGGTAGTAAAATAATATCTTTGTCGGATTTCTCGGGATATTTATTTTTTTCTCCTCTCTCTATGCCATGAAAAACTCGGAGCCGTTTTGCTTACTTACTTGGAGGTTTGCTATTGGAATTGTGTATGAGTTCTGTGGGGTTTGTCACAGGTGATTACTTTTCTAGCGAAATGAAAATGAAGCGCGAATGCCACGTATTAGTTTCATTTGCGGGTGGGATTTCAAGATAAGAATAAGTTCAAGAACTCTTGAAATAGAAAAATAAAAAATAAATAAAAAAGTGCACTCTGCTCCTAACATTATTGTTCACCATTTCTTTGGCCTTTTGGATGTGTAATGTTATTGAAGAAATTTACTTCTTAACTTAAAAAATTTGCTAGTTAAAAATTTACTTCTTTCATCTAAATTATTAAATTTTATCAATTTTATGGTTATAATTTATTAATAGTTAATTAATTGGTGTAATTGAATAAATAAAAATCAACCGTTCAATATCAAATTATCCTGTCCAATAATTTCTAATATATTTTAATAATTATTTGAATATACTCAATTTAAGTGCATTAAATTTATATAAATATTTGTCTGTCTATCTGTTATCTGATCTTTTGTCTCTCCGTTTTGTAGCTGATCTGCCTATTTGGACGTTGCCAACGTGGCCTTCTGTGGGACCCGATCCACGTGATATTTGCCGATCTGGGAGCTGCTTATGTATCCAGAGAAAATTTTCAATGGTACAGATCACTAAAAATTAGGTGGTATTTTTTTCAAAATTAAAAATAAAAATTGTTCCGTTTGAATTTCTTTATTACTCCCATTTTTTATTTTTGGAAGAGAACATCAAAAAATGTTCTCGGACCTAACCCACGTGAGAATCACCTGGGCTTCTCTAAAGATAATATTGTATTTGTGAAAATATAGATTTCGAGATATGCTCCATGTAATTCAAGTGGTCCATTTTTTGTAATGATTGGTGGCATGTCAAGATTTTGTAATGTTTAGTAAATTCTACCTATACCCATATCACGTTATTTTCATGATTTATTATCGAAGTATAATTACTTTACATTTATTTTTCTACATATACATATTTTAATGGGAAGAGATAGTGTAACAACTCATTAGTGTTACTACCTATTAATTTTACTGTTAGATCGATTACGTTAATCCAACGGTTATATTTATTTTTATCTTTGTAAGGTTACGATTCCTCATATTTAATACTTTATATGATTATGATTTCCCCATATTTAATCCTTTCACATTAAATATGAAGAATCATAACCATACAAAGATGAAAATAAATATAATCGTTGGATCGACATAATCGATCTAACAGTAAAATTGATTAGTAGTAACATTGGCAGTAACACTAATTGGTTGTTACAATATCCTTCCCTATATATTTATATGAAATAAGAGGTAGGATATTGTAACAACCAATTAGTGTTACTACCAATCAATTTCATTTTACCATTAGATCGTATTTATTTCCATCTGGTTATAATTTCTCATATTTAATACTTTATATTTATTTTCACCTTTATATAGTTATGATTTCTCATATTTAATGTTTTCACATTAAATATGGTGAATCATATCCATACAAAGATAAAAATAAATATAACCGTTGGATCAATATAATGAATCTAACGATGAAATTAGTTAATAATAACATTAATAATAACACTAAGTATTGGTTGGTTTTTTAGATGAAACATTCTTTCTATGGAATCTTCCAAAAAAAAAAAAAAGATTACACATGGATATTTCGTCAGAAAAAAGGAAAGATTTCACGTGGATACACGTGGGTCTGAACTACGTGGCTAGCAAATCTGTTATGCAGAGCTGTAGTCGATGAATAGCCACGAATAGGTACTAAACAATATAATGGAACTGTGCCAAAAAAAAAAAAACTATAATGAAAGTTATAACCACTAGAACGAGAGAGAGAGAGAGAGAGAGAGAGAGAAGGCATGAGTGGATGGATGGTGGCAGAGGATGAGAGGTGCTTTGAATAGAGACTAAAGGAAAGGACTGTGTAGATAAAGTTGTTATGGTTTAAGGAGTCGAGAGGGTGACACGACCAGTGTGACATCTAAGAACTCCACGCGTAAACGCCTTGGTTTCCGAGGGAAGAAATCAAACAAGTTTTGTGGTTAATATGAATTTGTCCAATTCTTGGTAATACTTCTAAACGGGTCAACTTGATAAAGTCAATGCGGGGCGACCAGATAATGAGCCGAGTAATTAAGAGGGTCCAGTTAATAAGGCACACCTCTAGCTCCAATTGTGTCCCATTGGATAGTAGTTGTTCAAACTCTGTACCGGTAATGTTAGGTTTTGAGGGCAAATATAATTGTGTTTAATCTTATTAATTTTTTTAATTAAAAACTTAGTAAAGAGAAATTTGCCATTCTCGTGATTCTGTCCGATTTGAACTGGGTTGATCGAACAAATGATAAATGGTGGAGAAATAAAAGAAAAAATCTCAAAAAATATGTTTAATTAAAAATTAGATTTCGAAAATTTTAAGAAGATTGCCTAAGTTTTTTAAAGAAAAGAACTAAACCTTAAAGTAAAACTATTTTGTCTCTTTAATGAACATCGAAACACATTTTGAATGTTATCATCAGAGTTTAAAATTGTAAATGATTATGACGGCACAGTTTATTTATTTATTCATTTCTGTTTTTCATTTAAGTGACGTGTGGCTTGAACTTGGCATTTCAATCTAAATTTAATCCAGTCCACCTATATTTCGCCAAATAGTGTTGTATTTCGGAGTCTAGCACTTAATTTTCAGTCAAATAGCCCGGCTTTCACCAGCCCGATCAGCGGAAGTATTGATGAACAAAACAATAAAATGAAAAACAAATATAGACAGCAAGAATATAGAACCCCAAAAACTTTTAACATGAAAACTCTCTGTGACATTAAAAGTAAATATTACGTGACTAAGTCCAGAAAACTTCCATAATAAATAATGGCTTTACACAAAGATTTACTTTGCCTCAATAACTAAAGGACTTCTCCTTCTAAAATGATAGATCTACTCACAAATACCTCACACAAATGTTTCTCTCTGTAAAGGGATAAAAATTTTACCCTACAAGTTTTTCTTCTTTCATAAGCAATTGTGCTAGATTTCTTTCTTAGAGGATTTTCGTCTCAAGCTTACGCTTTCTTTTGCGTGTTTTTTGTTTCTTCAAGTATGCCTCTCTCTATTCCCTGGATAGTGACAGGTAACCATCTAAACATATTTTAAAACAAGATATTAGGACACCCATCAAATAGGCAGGGTCCATCACGAGTCACGAACCCAACAAATAGGATGTTCACCAACCAACATACCTCTCTATTCTCTGGATAGTGGCAAGTAACCATCTAAACATATGTTATAAATAAGAGATTAGAATACCAACAAAAGGGTAGGTTGTATCATGCGCCACATGTTGGGTGTTGATTTTTTTAGAAAGTATAGAATTCAAAAAGAATTCGAGTATCGTTCACAGAGAATGAGAAATTTAATTTCTTTATTTTTTAGTTTTCTTGAAGATGAATGAATTGCTTCAAGAATGTATTTTCTAAAATGAATACTATATCAAGAATAGTAAGAACACGTTTAATTGAGTTTAGAATCAAGATTAAAAATCTAGAATTCTGATTTCAATGGCTTTTCCTTAAAAGTTGCATGTCTGTGTTTTAACTGCTATAGCAACTATCTTGATGGCATCTGACTTTTGTAGAACTTAACTAAACTTTCCCAAATTCAGTTCTATAATTGATTCAAATTAATCCCTTAATCTTGAATCAATTCATTGATGACTTAAAATCAAACTCTTTACCAGATTATTCCTAATCATGGAATCTTGAATTAATGAGATGCATAAACTCAAATTTTCCAATACAAGTTCATGTAAGAATTGTTAAGTCCATTCCCATGGAACTTAAACCAAAATAATTTCACTAATCAAACATCAAGAAAATGTACAGCAGTTTGAATCGATTAATGGGTACTTGTCATCTTCATCAGAATTCTAGAAAATGAAATTAGCAATGCATGTTGAAGATTAAAGGAAGAATGGATTTTGACATAAAAGTAAACAAGTTCTTCATTTACAAAAATCAGAAACAGTACGAGTTGAAGGTAACAGACCAATATGTTCTGCAAATTCAAATTGTTACAACTAAGAAAAACTAAAGCACGAAGTTACTGATCCAGAAGCTTGCAGGCATAATTTGTTTCCTCTTGAATCCCATCAATAATGAAATCCTTCGTGTATGTATCTCCAAGAAACTTTCAAAGAAAACTAAAACGCTCAAAATATGAAAAACTGAATACAATGAAATTCTGAGTTTAACGAATCTGAGTTTTCTCTATTACAAAACAAAGACTCTGATTTTTAAAACTTAAGCTCCAAGTTGATGCTATCCCTTAGATCAAACAACATCTAATGGTCCTCACGTTGCCATCTCATCTTCTTTATTCCTTTTTTATCTGCCATGTGTCCTTTTCTACAGTAATTTATGAAAAATAATTAGTGAAAAGTTAAAATTCTTTTTTTTATCAACTTGGGCTTACTTCTTTAAGTTGGCCCAATTTCACTTGCACTTTGACAAAATTAGCCCATAAAATATAGGAGAAATATCACTAATTTGAATAGAATTTAAGACTAACAAAATACCCCAAATTTAGGTTATTGCTTGTCCACAAGTAATCAAGTAGTTCTCAAGCAATTGTCAGCTATTTTCTATTCCACCATTTCAGTTTATCAGTCAATCGAAACCAGTTTAATTTTCCATTTATCATTATACATCACAGCCATTAATTTTAATCAGTCATATTGCCAATTACTATCTATATCATATCAGTGATTCAATTCAAACTAACCTATCAATTAAACAAATAGAAATCAGTGTTATAGTTCTTAACAAATAATTACACAC